GGCCCATTCAAGGGAATCCTTTTAGGATTCATCTAGTCTCACTAAGCACTACTTATGACGTAAATATGAGTCTTAAAGCTTTCAATCAGTTGGTGGGGTTCCCTCGTGAGTATGAAGTCATATCAAAAGATTTCTTGTATTATGATAGAAAGTAAATATTAGATTTTTGGAACATAGAAACACAAAAGGATTTTGAACTACATAATCGCTAATCAATTGTGTAAGTATAATATGAGAAGTAGGATTGAGGTACATGATCCTTCTGATAATAATATTTAAACATCAATGAAATGTATCACATCATTCGAAGGTGATGCTGAAAATTGTCGTTCGATAAATTGCGTAGTTTTACCTGAATATCCTGGATAAAGTAGCTCAGTCGAGAGCAAACCACTGGTTTGCAATGGAAAATGAACGGAAAGATTGGTATCTTTGATACAAAATTCCTCATCATTATCCGTCCATGAATAGGCTACAGTCGACGGATTAAGAAGAATTTCGGCTTCAGTATCAAAGATTTGGAATTGGATCGAATCATATTTATTATTTTGACCGTTCTATAAATGAATAACATTGCCAGCAAGAATAAATAATCGTTGATTTTCTTTCAATTGAATCGATATTTCCGATTGTTTCCAATAGAATTTCGCTCGTTCATGCACAAGTAATCTTAATTGTAAACGATTCAGTTTCAAACCTGCTTGATACTTATTACTTAATAAATGTAGGGCAATTTCTCGATAGATGGAAGGAGCTAAATTTCCATCATTTAAAAACTGATCTAATAATCCAGCATCGATACTATAGGCTTCCAAAAGTCCTCCACTGACAAAATAAGTCCCATGTTCTGTAACATTTTGTGAAAATAAGGCATCGATACCTACAATATTGCCCGATCGATAATAGATGGGCATTGTATCCATTTTACATTCAACAATACCTCGAACAATAAGATAAGCAGTGAATACTCTTTGACTTTTGCGAAGAAGAATTTTATCCGGTTGAAACCATCTATATTTTGCTTTCATAATCGTTTGCCAATGGGTTTTTTCATTCGAAGGTAGTGATTGAAAGTTTGGTAATAAGTCAAAAGCATCTTCAATTGCTTTCTTATGACCTTTCGGCATTTGGACACGATAAAATTCAAGATTAAACAATTTCTTTTCGATTAATTCTAATATATGTGAATAGACAGTATTACCCAACATTCCTGTTTCGTAAAATCTAGTGATAGTTTTCAATTCGTATTTTAGTAACATTTGAGCACATCGTTTTGTCATATGAATTCGCTAACAAACTTTGTAGTATTCTTGTAGATCGAGAAGAATATAACTAGCAGTAAGATGATAGAAATGAGTTTCTTGACAAACTTCATGCCAAATTCGTTCATCAATATTAGCTAATTCAGGAAATTGCTTTTGAAGATTATCCATCCGAGTTCGAGCCGAATGGAAAGCTGTACGATAAAAAAAGAAACCACAAAAACTGAAGGAAAATTTTGGTTGTATCACTTACCCAGAGTTAATTCAATGGTGAGAAAGATATGATCAAATAATAATTTATTGGTTTGATTATTAATCCAATCGATGCAATCGAATTGCATAAGAATTTATAACCATTTCGACAACCGAAAATGTTCAACGATCAATTTCCAATGAAGTTTTAGAGAATGTTGATGTTTAGCTTTTTCGATTGATTTAATCAATATGTAAAGTGTTCGTCGACGAATCATTCCCAAATACCATTGCTTTTCATAATCAACCAATAATGCTGTAAGAAAACGAATAATCAATTCATTTCGAAAGTTTATATTTTGTTTTTTATTATTGGATCGAAAATCGCCAACTGGTAATACAATATATTAAAGAGTTGAATTCTGTTGTTCCGAAATGAAATTGATCGGAACACTATCGGTCTCACATATACTTGGAAGTTTCTTGAATTCAATATTTGTGATCGTACGTTTTCGATAAGTATGTGGCGATAAATTATGAATTAAACTTGGTACAACGGAAAATTGTTGATGAATAGTAGTGTTTCGTTGTTCATCCATTTTTTGAACTAATCTATCTGGTAAATATTCATTGAGCATATTCCAATCGACATCAGAAAATTGTTTTTCCTGTTTCATTTTATGCAGTTGATTCATCGTTTGTCTACGCATATGTTCGAGAGCTTGTAACAAAATGCGTTCACTTTCCGGTGTACCTAGAAAATGAACATATATCAAGAATTCTTCTCATCTCAAATTTTTAGGTAATTTTATAAACATAATTATTCATCTTTCATGGAAAAGTTCTTATCCGTAAATTCATAGGAATGTATTTTTATGTAAACAATATGTACATACCGTGATCTAAGTCGAGAAGTCTCACTAAGAATTTGCTGCTTGTTCCATTGATAATCAGTGTGAGAAGGGCAATCATACAGATATGAAAAAGAAAACGATGTCGTGTTATAATATCGATTCGATTGTCGGAATTAACCATCAAAGCTAAAATAACGGGCATACGACCTCTTTAACCGCTCCAAATAAGAACTATATATTCTTTCCAAGATAAACATACATCACTCCAACGTATAAATGGATAGAGAAGAATGATGGATAATAGACGTCCAATGTGAAGTGCAATATACAATAGAATAGAAAATCCCAAATCAAGCACACCAATAGTTGCTTTCGTGCCGATTAGTGAGTGAGCCAAAATAATACCAGTAATGATAAAAATGAGAATATTTGCAAAATCAATAATGATACGTCAAGTATTGACCATTGGAAGTTGTACATGACTACTGATACAATATTTATATTTGGCCATGAAAACTCCCATGACCACCAATGTCAGAACAGCTGAAATGTCGAGTTCAACATCAGCAATGTAGAAAATCAGATAAGCAAGACCAAAGACCGATATGATTTCGACTTCAAGTTCGTTATGGATTAAATTCAAAACAATCACAGCAATAATACCACAAGCAAATCCGAAAGCTGGACCACCTAGAATGTTAACAGACAACACTTTCGAACGATATTATTACAAAGAATAGTTATAATCAAATTTTACTGACCAATAGTGAACTTGACAATATCAATAATAATTTTCCTTGCACTACCGCTTCCACCAACAACAATATCTCGAAAAATCGTAAAGATGGCAAAGGCAGAACCATCATTCAATAATGATTCAAGATCAATCAATGCTGCTAATGATTTACTCGCTCCTGACTCATATAATAATGCTACCACAGCAACGGGATCCGTTGCACTCAGCAGCTACCGGGACTTATTTTTTCAGGATTTATTGGGATTTTTTAATAAGTCCGTAAGCCCTTTGAGATAAATCCCATACAGTTCCTCGCTACATACAGAATGTGGATGAGGGTGTGAGTGTGGGTGTGGGTATGGGTGTGGGTGTGGGTGTGAGTATGGGTGGGGGTGTGGGTGTGGGTGTTGATGTGAGTATACTGGGATAGCATCACTATTAATATATCAGAATAAATCCTCAATAAAGAAATAAGTCCGCTAGAAAGAATAAATCCCGAAAAATTAAGTCCCGGTAGTCCCTCGTTGCACTTAGAATACTTCCAAACATGATACTAACTAGCCAAGACCAATGATATGGAAATATATAGATGGCAAATGCTGCAATAATAGCAATAGAAATGAGCACACCAGGACCAGCTAGAAGTATAGCAGATATGATTTGTGGTCGAATAACATGAAAATGACTATTAAAAGCAGAATTGAATATGAGTAATGGTAGAAAAATATAATAAATAAGATGAGGATTAATTTCTCTCAATTCTTTTTCACCAAGTAAAAAATCATTACTCATCACATTAATATGACCTATAATCATACCAACAGTGAAACCAAAAATGAGTACGATTACTGTAAATGGAGCAGGAAATTTATTTTTCAATATTTGTGAAAGTATTAATTTGCATATACATCCAGCCAAGACGGCAAATGACAAAAATAAAATCATTGTACCAATCGTATGTTCACCTTCATGATGAGAATTCATTGTACTATTATCGATTGCAATCATCTAGAAATGAACAATAGCTTTATCTTTCAAAATTCATTTGTCTCTCAATTCAGTATGTACATCAATATCTCAATGACAGAGTAAAAAGTAATGAGACAAAATCCATTAAGTAGAGAAACATGTCTGTCACATCCAAGTCGATGAATATAAGAATTGTAAATGATCATATACGACGATAGTAAACGAACGTTATGTTCTTCTCTTTAAAATATTATATTTCACTTTATATGAGGTAGAAAAATATGATTGTAATATTGAGCTATGTAAACTGTCGTATTTCTCCACCTACGATCGTTTAATGATCATGTCTCTTTTATATCAACATTGAATACAAAATATTCACACAAACAGAACA